AATCGGTACATTTTGACGCTCATAGACGAATACTCTCGGTTTCCATTCGCCTTCGCCTGTCCGGATATGCAATCGTCTACGGTCATTAACTACCTCTGACAACTATTTTTGATCTTCGGGATGCCAGCATAAATTCACTCGGATCGGGGTTCATCGTTCTTATCGTCTGAACTATCAACTTCTTACGAGAGTCATACAACCGCCTACAATCCGCAAGGTAATGGTCAGGTTGAGCGATTGAAAGGTACTCTTTGGAAGGCTATTTCCCTGGCACTGAAGACGAGGGGCTTAGCCATCTCCCAATGGGAAACCATGTTACTAGACGCACTGCACTCGATCCGTTCTCTTTTATGCACCGCTACAAACGCCACCCCACATGAACGACTTTTCTGTTTTGCCCGACGCTCTACCAGTGGTACATCTCTTCCAACCTGGTTGACTACCTCTGGCCCCGAATGGCTCAAACGCATGGATCGGTCCTCGAAACTGGATCCCCTCGCCGAAGAAGTTGAACTTATCAACTGCAATCCGCATTACGCCTTGGTGAAACCTCGTAATGGAAGAACAAAGAATGTTTCCATTCACCATTTGGCCCCCCGGGGTGACCCACCGCTATCGATACCCGAACTCGCAGCACCAACAGACCCTCCCTCCGCACCGCTTCACATTGTCCCTTCGACAGAATCCGACACCTTACCCGAATCTCCTAGCCTCGATGATGAATACACCCCTCCACCGACAACGCTCACACCTCACTCATATACCGACGTGCTAAAACAACTGCAGAGAACACACCCTTACAATTTACGAAGGAGAGAAGCGTGAAACAGAACTTTATGCTGTTTGTTACCACAAAACACATTTTCGAAGTGTTTCACATTCAATAAACNATATCCTGGTTCTCTTGTTTATACACCTTTTTCTCTTGCGTACTACATAAACCTCTTTTTTTCTATTACAGCTCATGTACCGGATTGACTAGTTGAGTAAAGCGTATAATTCCGACTCCGAGTCTTCTCCATTCTGCTCTTGTTTGCTTGATTCTGCATTGAAAACCCCATGGCCACAAGAACCTACTGTCTACTCATGGGAACCCGCTACCTAAGCTGCGGAACTTGGACTGAAGGACCACACACAAGCCCACTACGATAGGCATCTTGTCCAGCCGGCCGACAGCGAAGCGGCTCGCCAACCAGGTTGGATGGTGATGGCGCGGTTTGAACATCGGATTGCAGAGCCCAACGCATGGGGGTGATAGTGACTTAAACCACTTACTACACTCTAAGTTTCCCGCTATGTGATCAACTCTTTTTGCTGACTGCCTAAGAGTAAATCACGGATCGATTTCTTCGCTATGAAGTTGGTTGTACCGGGATTGGTTTCGGACAGTCTGAACTTAGAGAATTGCAAACTTTATAGATACATACTAACTGCCATGTGGAATATCAAATATTTGTAACTCTTCTTTTTCAATCCTTTGAATTGTATCCATATGTTATTTAATGGATCCGTGGTCGTATTTTTTGTTTCTTGAGCGGTACGCTTGATCGGGAAAGGGATAATTGAAGATGGTGGCGACTAGCTTTTCCCAGAGTTGGTTACTGTGCAAAGAAAAAGGTTCAAGAACTATAGGGCAAGCCATCCAGACCGAAAAGCTGTGACAAAGGCACGATAAACACTCACCTTCCCAACAACTTTTGGACGACAGTGTTGCGAGTCTGTTTGATTAATTGTTCGTTGGTAATGGAGAACCCGGGGTAAGTCAGGATGCTTAAAAGGGCAGCGTCTGTTTCCTTTGAGTTGGATTCACGTGGGAGCACACTCTCCAAAACGGTGTTGCATTGCTGACACTCGTCAGGGAAAACATGTATCGTTGAGAGAGCACTACCATCAGCTCCGAACAAATCCAAATCACAGAGAGCCTCCAGAGCCGCCTGTATGGTATCAAAAATGGCAGGTTTTAACGG